TATAGACTTTAAAATGTGTCTAAATTAATTATTGTGAATTTCGTGGTTATTGCAGTTTATTAGTAAAACATTATTATCAGTATTGAAAAAGTAGTGTCTTCACATTTTGTTGTCTATCTCAAGAACTAGGATGAGTACATTAATAATTCATTTATCAAAATAAAGCTAATAATATTGACTTTAAAATGTGTTTAAAGCATATATTATGAAATTCGTGGTATAGTTTATTGGTACAATATTATTTTCAGTCTCAAAAAATAGTGTCTTCACATTTTGTTGTCTATCTCAAGAACTAGGATGAGCACATCAATACTTCATTTAACAAATGAAAGCTAATAATATATACTTTAAAAGGTGTCTAAAGTAATTATTATGAAACTCGTGGTTATTACAGATTATTGGTATTGGTACAACGTTATTTTTAGTCTCGAAAAAGTAGTGTCTTCACATTTTGTTGTCTATCTCAAAAACTAGGATGAGCACATCAATACTTCATTTATCAAATGAAAGCTAATAATATAGACTTTAAAAGGTGTCTAAAGTAATTATTATGAAACTCGTGGTTATTACAGTTTATTGGTATTGGTACAACATTATTTTCAGTCTCGAAAAAGTAGTGTCTTCGCATTTTGTTATTTATCTGAAGAACTTGGATAAGCACATTGATACTTCATTAATCCAATGAAAGTTATTGATATAGATTTTAAAATGTGTCTAAAGTAAATATTGTGAATTTCGTGGTTATTACAGTTTATTGGTATTGGTACAACATTATTTTCAATCTCGAAAAAGTAATGTCTTTACATTTTGTTGTTTATCTCAAGAACTTGGATAAGCACATCGATACTTCATTAATCCAATGAAAACTATTGATATAGACTTTAAAATGTGTCTAAAATAATTATTCTGAATTTTGTGGTTATTACAGTTTATTAGTAAAACATTATTTTCAGTCTCGAAAAAGTAGTGTCTTCACATTTTGTTGTTTATCTCAAGAACTTGGATAATCACATCAATACTTCATTAATTCAATGAAAGCTAATGATATAGACATTAAAATGAGACTAAAGTAATTATTATACACTTCTTGGTTATTACAGTTTATTGGTTTATTGTTAGTCTCAAAAAAGTAGTGTCTTTACATTTTGTTGTCTATCTTAAGAACTAGGATGAGCACATCAATACTTCATTTTTCGGAAGAAAGATAATAATATAGACTTTAAAATGTGCCTAAAGCATTTATTATAAAATTCGTGGTTATTACAGTTTATTAGGACAGCATTATTTTCAATCTCGAAAAAGTAGTGTCTTCACATTTTGTTGTATACCTCAAAAACAATGATGATCACATATAAAATCCAATAATCCAAGCTAACAATATAGACTATAAAATGAGTATAATAGTCTAATAGTGAGATTCGTAGTTTGCCTATAAAATAAACTGAAACATTTTTTTGTAACCCACCAAAAAAAATTGTGATCAATCTAAAATTAAATTTTAAACACAATATTTTCATAAAACTTTTAAATTGCTTATTTTCATTATATTACATATAATTTATAATTGATTTTATTATAGTTTAAAGGCGAATTAATAAGAAAACTTCAAGTAAATTTTAATCGAAAAAAAAAATTCATCTTTTTCTTACGAAAATATGTGAATGATTAATTTACACTCAATAGAATACCCTATTATCCCAATATAATGAAATATAGTCTGTAATTTATCACAACACAAAAGTAATTTCGAAAATGAAAAAAAAAATGTATACAAAAAAAAATATTATATTATAAAAGATATTGAATATTAGGTCATTTCGAGTAGAACTAAACGAAATTGACCGAGTCCATTGGAGCGTGTAACATGTGTGTATGATTCGAGAAAATATAAATTGTCCATAAGAGAAAAGAACGAAAGAAAAAAAATATAAATTGTAGAAATCGAATTCACACTGTTTATATAATCGACAATTTTCAAACGCAATTACACGTTTATTATTACTGCGATTTTCGACGAAAACCAATTAATAATAATGATTCTCATAAAAAAAATATTAATTTAAGTGTTGTTGAAAATATGGATCAAAGAGAAAGAAGAAAAAAGAAAAGAAATTTCAATCAAATTATTTTAAGATATATTTTATCCTTAAAATATTTTTTTCTATACAAATTTTAATTAATTTCTTTAAGATTAAATTGAATAAATATTACAATTGTTCCACTATTTCTTCTATATTTGATTACAGAAATGAATCAAAATGCAAATTCTTACTGCATGATTGCATTATAAACAGAAAAAGTGTAATCAATTACTGAATGAATATAAAGTGTGAACAGATGAACATTAAAATTCTAATTGAAAACTTCTGGTCTATTTACATTTGAACTAAAAATTGAATTGGATCGAATTCATTGGAGCATGCAGAATGTCTATGAGGATGAAGAAAAGAAAAGTTAGAAACTGAAATCGCGTACTTTTATATAATCGTTTCCAATTAAAATGCAATACTTTATAGGTGTGAATTTTTGTAATTAAAAAAAAACTGTAAAAAAAGACATGAAAATAATTTCATTTTTTTTAATCAAAGTCGAAACTGTACAAAATATATTATTTTATAGGCAGAATAACTTAAATTACACATTTTCTTATAAAAATCTGCATTTTTTTCAATATGTTTGCATTTTTTTCAACTGTCCAAATTTATTTTATAAAATATAATTACAATTCATTAAGAGGACTTTTTTATGTTATTAGTTTATTACGAAGTTGACTAAATGCATTCGAGCATATAAAAAGTGCATTTAAATCAAGAAAATTAGATTTAAAAATATATATATATACAATATTGAATATATGCGATTTGTACAAATGATTCATTTCGAATGTAATGAAATTGTGATTTGTCATTGCAGACTAATTAAACTCAATGATTTTCATATATTTCATTATACACATACCTTTTTGTGTCGAACTAATACGTTTATAAATTAAGAATTGTTGAAATAAGCAAATTATTATTAGAAAAATCCAATTTATTTATGTGGAAATTTTTCAAATATTTTCATTCGACATTATGTTGTGTATCTCGAGAACCAGAATGAATACATAGATAATTCAATGATACAATTAAAGATAAGAATATAGGGTTTGAAATGTGCCTAAAGCAAATGTTATGAAATTCGTGATTTGTCTGTAATAAGCTGTCAAAGTTGGAACAACATTATTTTAACTTTTTAATAGTTAGTGTCTTCACATTTTGTTCTATATCTTGAGAACTAGAATGAGCACATAGATAATTCAATAATCGAATTAAACATAAGAATATAGGTTTTAAAATGTGCATAAAGTAAATGTTATGAAATTCATGGTTTGTCTGTAATAAGGAGTCAAATTTGGAACAACATTATTTTAACTTTTTAATAATTAGTGTCTTCACATTTTGTTCTATTTCTTGAGAACAAGAATGAGCACATAGATATTTCAATGATCCAATTAAAGATAAGAATATAGGTTTTGAAATGTGTATAAAGTTAATGTTATGAAATTCGTGGTTTGTCTGTAATAAGCTGTCAAAGTTGGGCCAACATTGTTTTAACTCTTTAATAATTAGTGTCTTCACATTTTGTTCTATATCTTGAGAACTAGAATGAGCACATAAATCATTCATTAATCCAATTGAAGCTATAAATACAGGCTTTAAAATGTGCCTAAAGTAAAATTAAGAAAATATATAAAATTCAATTATTTTTTGTTAAACTACAGTTTTCATTAATCTAATTAAGAAATAGTATAATTTTAAAATTAATTAATATTCATTAAAATCGAACCAATTTTAATATATGTTGAAAATGCATGAAATCTACAATTATTCTATTATAATAATTATAGATTCGTTAGGAATTTAATTAATTACAATTACCATAATTAACGATACATTAAGAAATTAATTAATATGAAACGTTTTCAAGGAATTCATAAAGACCAAATCTATTGAAGCATATAGAAACTAAGTGAGATTTAAAAATCAAAATTAATAGAAAATTTTGTAAAAAAAAATATTATTTTTCTTTTAAATTATTAATTCATTTATAGGTAAATTTATTAAGTTATTATTATTTTTGTTTATATTAAATATTAATTTCATTTAGAAAATCGTGATTTTTCAATTATAAAATTAATATTTTTTTTTAAATATTTTTCTCTAACTATTAATTAAATCACATCGGCGTTAAAAGAAACAAAATATGAGTGTAAAATAATCGCTTGTGTATTTATATTCATGGTGGAAAAACAATTACCAAATTTTTTTTCGTTATTACTTGTGCAATTGTAATAATATTTTTTTAATATTTTTCTCTAACTATTAATTAAATCACATCGGCGTTAAAAGAAACAAAATATGAGTGTGAAATAATCGCTTGTGTATTTATATTCATGGTGGAAAAACAATTACCAACATTTTTTTCGTTATTACCTGTGCAATTGTAATGAGATTGAATGCATAATGGTTGGTACATCTGAAAAAACAATCGATAAAATTTGTAAATGTCATCCAGAGGAAATGAACTTAATTCATTAACAAATCAGTGATAATTGGATCGATTAAGTTAATTTCCGTTTCCGTTTAAAATATAATAACAATGTTAATTAGAAACGTGCGGAATTAAGCGAACGAAAGTGGACCGAGCGGATTGGATTTTGGTGTGTGAGTATGATTAGTTTGGAATGCGGTGTAAAATTGCGATTTTCGTGGATGCAGTTAAAAACAAAAAAAAAATATGTTAAAGAATCGAATTATCATCGTTTTGGTCCACTTCCCATGCGTGAGTTTCGCTCGTCTGTCTTCGTCTTGCCGCCGCCGCCACCAGATACACTAAGAAACGAGGGGGGTGTACGCAATCCAGGTGAAAGGGGAACCTTGCTTTGGGGAGAGATTCCTCATGGGCGGAACGTATAAAACGTGGACCATCGGCCGGGGTAGAGCACAGTCGCTCCAAAACACTCCTCCGAGCTCCTTCACTTGGAGAGGTCAACAGTCACCGAGCAACAATGAGAGTTCTGGTAACTATGGTGATGGAATAACAGTGTGTTATGGTAACGGTTTTTGTTTTTTTTGTAGATTTTGTCGTGTTTGCTTGCGGCGGCGGTTTCCGCCGGATACGCTCCTCAGGGATTCGGAGGGCCGCAGCATGGATATGGTGGGCAGCAGGCTGTCGGGTACAGCGGACCACAGCACTTCCCGGTGATCCAGAACGGCGTTCCCGTGGAGACGGAAGAGGTGCAGCACGCCAAGGCCAACCATTACGCCGCTTTAGCGCAGGAGCAATCCCATCCCGCTTACCAGCACGGACCACAATTCCAGGAGAATTACGAGCAAGGACCTGCTGCAGGACACGGTGCTCCTAGTTATTCCGCTGGACCTGCTCACAGCTTCTCCAACGGACAACACTTTGCTCCAGCTCCACAAAGTTATGCTCCAGCTCCACAAAGTTACGCTCCGGCTCCACAAAGCTACTCCCCGGCTCCACAAAGCTACGCTCCAGTCCAGAGCTTCGGCCCATCTCACGGTGGATTCGCTCCTCAAGGTAAAGTAGCTGTAGCCCCTGCGTACGAGACGACCCACGTGATTCCTTCCATCGGGCAGGACGGTAAACCCTTGGACACTCCCGAAGTGCAAGCCGCCAAAGCCCATCACTTCGCCGCCGTCAGCGAAGCCCTGGCGAGGGCTCCCAAAGTACAGCCAGGACCACAAGGTCATCAAGGTCCTGCCCATTACCGTTACCGTCGTGGCATCTACTCGCACATTCCTCTGGCCTACGCGGGACCTCATCACATCCCAGTTCTGAGCCACAAAGGTGTCCCAGTTGACACAGTGGAGGTACAACACGCCAGGGCTCAGCACTTCGCCGCCCACGCCGAAGCCAACCACGGCTCCGGTTACGCCATCCACCAGAACCACGCTCCCGTTTACGGTTACAAGGATTCTTACGGTTACGTCCCGACCATCGCCCACGACGGTACACCCTTGGACACACCGGAAGTCGAGCACGCCAAAGCCGCCCATTTCGCCGCCCATCACGAGGCTTTAGCCCGCAACTCGAAACACCTGCAACCATCATACAACCACTACTACCATTAATTATTGGTTTTTTTCCACATTATTTTCGTGTGTGTATGTGATCGTGAATCTCTCATTCATAGACTGTCCAATCCCGGAGTTTTCGAGTTCTTCGAATAGCCGGGCGTCCATCCCAACAACGCTTTAACATGTAAAAAGAAAATAATTATTATCTTGTACTTTATATTATATAACACTCTTTTTTTTTTGTATACGTAGAATAAACGAGAGAATGAACAGAAATAGTAAAGAGCGAAATGTGTGTATTTTCAGTATTTACCACCTTTTTCTTTAGTTCATGCACGACTTGACTTCCTTTGCGCAAATCGAAATTAGAAACCCAAGGTCTCAGCCACCTTGCACCCATAAACAACATCACAACTTTACTTTTATTATTATCCTTTTTTTTTCCTTCATTCCACCCGAAATCGCCGTTTTCCTGCATAACCGTGTATCCATTCGATCCAATTTCCTTCGGCGCTTTCTATTCTATTCCGCTCGCTAAATATCAAGCAGCAGCAACAACCTACATTTCTACATTTATTTGGTTCAATTCACATAACTTACAAAAACCTTTTTGGTCACCACCTACAAAACATAACTCTTAACAAATGCAAAACATTACACAATTACAGATAATTTTACAAAAAAAAACTTACAAACTTAGTAAGATATTTACATTAAAGCTTATTATGGTCATTACAAATGAATTTGGTTCATTTTAGAACTGAAAAACAACATATAAAAGTAAAGAAATTGCCACGAGTTACAAAAGTAAATATTTACAATGAAACTAAATTAAAATTTCTGATCAAATTAATTTTACACTAAAAATATTGTCAGATTTCAGTGATTTATTCATGATTAGATTGCTGATTTTCTTGTATTTTGAAAGTAGTTTTGTTCTATAAATTATTGAGTTATTTTGCGGTATAATCGATCAATCAATTTAGAAATTTGCAACGAAAGGTCTGTAGGTGCAGTACGTTCATTACACTCATTTTGTTACATGGAAATTCTTCATTATTAGGAGTATACAAAAATTACTAGAACATTATTATTATTAATTATAATATAAGAACAAAAATATTATTGTTTTTCAGAAATTGTACTTCAATTAATGTTTATATTATAATACTATAAATTTTTCTTCAAAAAAATATGAAAAAAAAAAGTACAGAAATAGTGAATGAAATGAAATATTCAATATTACTTTACATCTATCCAAAGCAATTATTCCTTAGATATATGACTTTAGTATATAATTAAACAAAATTGTAAAAATTGCAGCAATTTGTTGGTAACTTTCTACAATTGTACATTCCGTCCATTAAATATCGGCCATCGGCAGCACCATCTATGTACACTCCTTGCCGCCGGTGGAAACGATTCACGTTTCGCAATCTACTTTGTTATGTCACCTCTCGTGTTCCTCTGTTCCTGGTTTCTCGGACAATCGAAGCGTTTTGTTGTTTTCGTCTTCATAGCGCGCGCGTGTGGTGTGTGTGCGTTTTCGAAGCGGAACGAAAGAAGAAAGAAAAAATGCTCCTCACATATTTTCATTGCACTCTGCAATGTACGCAACACATATTCGCGTTCGTGGAAAAAAAAAAGAATGGTTGGAAAATCGCGTGGGTGGAGGAAGAAAAGAGAAAAAGAAGGGAGGTTGCGCTTCGACGATCCACGAAAATACTGCAAATTACGCGAAAGACATTTCCGTTTCGTTGTATAATCGACAAGTCAAAGTATAATATCTTTTGTATATAAGAAATTGGAACAAGAAAATTTATAGTTTGAAGGTTTGAAGCATATGATTTCTAAACTTTCTATTATGTTATGAAACTTTTCATTATTTTGAAAATTTTAACCTGAAAATTTTATTTTTCAGAACAATTGAAAAATATTTTTATAAAATTCATTAATACGTGTCTTTAATTGCGCATTGTATTAATTATTGAATGAAATACGACAATTTTAGTATTTGAAACAATAATTGTAATAATGAAATGTCAAGTGTCATAATCATAAAAAATTGCTGTAATACGCGTTCAAAGTTGAAAAATTGAAATGAGAATGTTTGGGGAATCTAGAAAGTATTGATGTATTACTGTGGTTTTGGTCGTTTGGCTGTAATTCGTGTTCAAAGTTGAAAAAATGCTCGAAAAAGCAGTATTCTCACATTTCATTGATTTTCTCGAAAAATATAATAGATAGAATGAATCCAATAGATGCATATGAAAGCTGAATGTTTGGGGAAACTAGCAAGTATTGATGTATTACTGTGGTTTTGGTCGTTTGGCTGTAATTCGTGTTCAAAGTTGAAAAAATGCTCGAAAAAGCAGTATTCTCACATTTCATTGATTTTCTCGAAAACTATAATACATAGAATGAATCCAAAAGATGCATATGAAAGCTGAATGTTTGGGGAAACTAGCAAGTATTGATATATTACTGTGGTTTTAGTCGTTTGGCTGTAATTCGTGTTCAAAATTTAAAAATGCTCGAAAAAGCAGTGTTTGCACATTTCATTGATTTTCTCGAAAACTATAATACATAGAATGAATCCAAAAGATGCATATGAAAGCTGAATGTTTGGCGAAACTAGCAAGTATCGATATATTACTGTGGTTTTAGCCGTTTGGCTGTAATTAGTGTTCAAAATTTAAAATATGCTCGAAAAAGCAGTGTTTTTACATTTCATTGATTTACTCAAAAAC